TATCCACGCAAAACCAAAAACCTTTGTTGTGGATCAGATTATTGAAAGTTACGGTCATCAAGTTTTACGTCTGCCACCGTATCATTGCCAGTTTAATCCCATCGAATATATATGGGGAATAGCAAAACAATATTATGACAACCATATTGGGCCTAACGGTTATAGCGACGACGCAGTTCGGGAAACTTGGCGAAAGGCACTTTCAATTGTAACTCCAGAAGTGTGGTGCAACTGTATATTCAAGTGCGAGAAACTAATAGAAGATTGGTGGACTCGTGAAAATAAAATAAACGAAATAAGTCCAATCATAATAACAATTAATGGTGATGACAGTGATGATGATGACGATTATGATATTTTTGATGATAATGACTGATTTTCATTTTTGTTGGCAAGTTAAATTTTTTTATTTTTCATTAGAAATTCTCTCCATGGAACAAATATACATAGACCATATTTTCTGTGTGAAGTGTAATATAAAATTATTATTAGGTTTATATTAGCCACATTAGACTCCATTAATGAAGTAATTCTCCTTATTATACTGTCAATTATATAAAAGATTTTCCATTATTATTTAATTAAAAAAAGTTATGGATTATTTTTCATTTCATTTGACCAGTTGATATTTCCCCAAAGAGCAGGTAATTAAAACTGGGTACTTACAATAAAATTTTTAATCCGAAACCCGCGTAAATATAGCGAACCGACTTTACTATAAAAATGAACGTTATATACACGCGAGATTTTGGCGATTTGATCAATCTGAGCATCTTACTGTAATGAATAATGAAGGGTTCAAATGACAATTTGAGCAGTGGTGCAATTTGGAGATAATGCTCGTTGAAAATATTCAAAACATAAGTAGTAAGTTACGACGAATGGTTACGAGAGAAAATGATGGCAAATATTTACCACACAGATCAGGTTTTATTATATGAATAGTAATCCATTGTATCAAAGGTCCAAACCAGAAGCTTGCAAGAAATATACCTTCATTTGGCATATTTCTAGTTTTTGATTTGAATGTCACTGGACAAAGTTCGTGGAAGACTTATATACAAAAGGACACTCGACAGTAAAATACAATCAGCCCTATTCTGTAACTACAAATCGAATAGAGGTCAGCAAGTCGGATCGGAATTATAGGAATCGGTATTCTGTAACTTATCTCGACCACTACTATTGAAATGTTGTGTAGAAATTGATTTCGACTAGACAAGCTCTGTCGAGATCAAGTTTCGACATCGAAATTGGTCTTGACGCTTGCGCATTGATATCATTATTGTTTTGACATTTATTTGTTGACTTGTTGATATAAATCAGCTGTTGATTCATTTTGTAGCTGCTTCATTTTTTAGTATGTGGTGTTATTTATTTAGATAAAGTTGACTAAATAATTTAACTGCTCAGCAGATGTCTTTTTCTTTGGTGTTCTGCTTGCCATTTTGTATTCTTGTAACGAACTTTTTACAGCTTACATACCTGTAGCAAGGAGCAACATATACAGCTCTACAACAGCTAAGAGAAATACCAACAGAATGGCTGAAATCTCAGTTTATTGCACTTCCAAAAAAAAAACCAGGAGCCAAAAAAAATACGAAATTTACCGTACTATAGACTATGCTTCGTCATGGAAGCAGTATAGGCACTATGATTTAATACCTTGAGTTTGTTTTCAATCCGACGTCGCCCGATATCGGATCGGAAGAAATACGGTTCCAATGTAGGTGTACACTAATTCAGTACGAGTAGTTTTACGCAATTTTATCAGCCTATCAAACGACACCCAGCACAATATTGTGTTAAGTTTAGATACTGAGGATCTAAGGTCCTTTTGGCACGCCGCCATGTCTTTTAAAATGTAAAACGAACATACTTATGGGGTTACATAGGTCTTGTATTTTCAAAAAATCGACTTTTTTTATTCCACATGAAAGTATAGTACTTCAAAAGTATTCACACCAAATTTGAAGTACATTTAAGCAATATTACCGGAGTTATACGAAAAAAATGTTTTAAAAACGATAAGAATCGGAAAAACATGAAAAGAAAATTCATTTAAACGTCTTTCAAAACTTAACATTTCATTTTTTTATTTCTTTGTTTAATCACGAGTCAAAGGCATAAACTATAAGAAAATTTTGGAATTTTTGTTCAAGATGAACCTGCACCGAAATTAAGAAAATATTCTGACTACTGCAAAAAAAAAGTGGGACCAGGAAAACTGCAGGCAAAAATTGATAATTCTCAATATTTTTAGCTGAAAATGTTACTTACTCAAATGCTGAAATTGTGTAAATTTTAAATAAAACAGATTTTTGGATTTTAAAATAGAATCATTTGAAAAAGTTTTTTTCCTTCAAGCCCTATGTAAGTTCTTAATAAAACATATATGGAACAGCCTCAATCAAACATCAAAAAAGCTAAATGAAACAGTAGAAACAAAAATGCGAACCAAAAAGAGTTGCAGAGCATTACAGAAATATGCTAGTAGTTAAGCTAAATCGTTTTCACTGCAAGTATAGGAAAATAAATGTGTCAGAGAGGAGAGAGAGAGAGAAATATCTTTTAGATATTTAAGAGTTAGAACGATATACGTTGACGTCACATTATGTCATAGTTCTGCTATTATCCGTGCCAGTAATTCGCGCCGATGTTTTTAATCTAAATTAATTCACAATATTTATGTAGCATTTGACATAAAAACGTGACATTTCTGACATTTGACCATTGACCATAAAACGTGAGGCATTTTTACGTAACGTATGTCATTAAATGTTTTAGTGGCTTCATCTAATTGAATGAGTACATACATAGAAACTTATTACGTCAGGGAAAGTTATTAAAATATATCAGGATTTAACTAAAACTATCAAACAATTAGAAAACCGCTTACATAACCAAAAGATACTTCTCCCTGTAACACAATGATTTCGCTATACTTGTAGTAACAAAAGATGCCCACAATATATTAAACGAGGATATTTAACCAATGTATACTCCGTTCATTTATGATTCTCAAATACAAAAGTAAATGTTGATCAAATTGTTGTTGAACAGTTGGAAGGCAACTGTTACACCTAAAACTTTAAAACAGTGTCAAAAAGGCAGACGTTAGAGAGCAAGTAATAAAACGTTAATAGAAATTTGCAGACTGTTCGACAAAATGGATAGAAAGATGGAATAATTTGATAATATTTAGGCGCACATTCGAATACAGAAGACAAATATGAGATGAAGTGATAATGTAAATAAACACGATGGGACAATAGTACTGGATAGAAACCAGTGGAAGACACAGGTACGATTTGTAATACAAAACCAAGTGCAAATTATAACCTAACAGTAAATAAAGTTCAAATTTGTTCCATATATTCTACCTATACAGATGTATCGACATATTTAGAATAAATAGTAAACAACCATAATGAAACTAGTTGCCTTTAATCTCAACTTTAACAATATAAAATACTGTACACTTACAATACAAAAAATAGTAAGAAGTCGTTTTAAAAATGAATTTAACACATTCGAAAAAGATTTAAAAAATACTTATCCACACATTTGATTCCCTTTTCTTCTCCAGTTCTACATGAATGACAATCGTTCCTTTCTAAATATAGATTGTGGTACTCTTAAAATGTGGACCATTAAGAGAGAAAAAAATTTGACCAATGTAACATAACGAGTTGCCAAACTAAAGTTTGTACTTTTCTATTTTTCCCTTCTGGAACTAGATCCTTCAAAGTAGGACTGAAGCAGCATGAGGAAAACGTGCAAAATACCTTCAGTTAACATAGTACATGAGTATTTCATCTCTTTTTCACAATGTAGTAAAGAAAAATGTACAGTACGCACCAGCTAGGAAGAACCTGCGCAGATTCCCGTTTTAGTATCGCTTCAGCACTAACAGTGTTGACATCAATCACGGCACAAAGCTTTGTGTTCCACGGATTCTCAGTAATATTCGGAAATATTACAACCCTTGTTTTTCCTAGGTGGCGATTCAAACATACATTTTAATGTATATGATAAAACTTTTCAGGCACTTTTTTAATTGACTAAGTCAATATATTTGTAAAATAATTGATGGGTATACAAATATACGAATATTAGCAATATCTGACACTATTTAAATACAAAAAACAATAATAATAATATTGACGGAATCCAATTCTGGAACAAAACAAATTTTATTTAGACTATTTACTGTTTAAATCGAGTAACTGCTTTTTTAACAGGTTACGTGCAACGTACATCCAATTGGGTCGAGACGAGTACCCCTTGTTGATACCAAGACACAATCTTGTGAACTGCTTAAAGGATTCCCCAAACCGACGCGAAACTTTCGCAGCGGAATCGCGGCGAATCGTAAGGCACGGCGACTTAATGCATGTGTTCAGACAAGTTCGGACGGAAACCGGAACGGTCGCGGCAGAACAGCGTTGACGTTTCATGAAACGCTGCATGCACGGTTTTTTCCGCTGCAGTTATAGCAAGTTATAGTTTCGCGTGAATTATTAAAATGGCTGTTACAGAAAAACTAATTGAAATTGTGAAACAATATCCTATAATTTATGATTTAAGTGACGAAGATTATAAAAATATAAGAAAAAAGGATAAAGTCTGGGATAATATAGGGTCATTTCTAGGAGAAAATGGTAAGTTTTCATTATATATTATATATAATGAATTTAATAGTGCTCCGCCTGCGAATGTTCCGCAACGGTTTCGCGTCGCAAAAGTTTCGCGTCGGTGTGGGGAATCCTTAAAAGTGCTAGAGCTATATTTTCTTTATTTATTATCATAAAACAATTTTACAAATACACTTCGGTTTCTCGTGGGAAAAGCAAGATACTAGTACATTAAATCTTGGCCATCCAAGAGGTGGACATCAAAGTTTTTCAATAAAAGATAAAATAAATACTGATCCAAATGAAGGACAAAAAAGTATAGCTAATTCAAAACTACTACTTATTTATTTAGATTAAGAATATTTTCAAAACATAAAAATGGTTTAATTGGGTATCTATTGCAAAAAGTTTTAACTTTATTGGATTAACTTTTGGCAGAAAACAACTGAAATTTCTTCATAGTAGTATTTGCAGTTCTTTTTTCGTCGCCGTAATATTAAAAAATGGATACAAATCTTAATAAGCATGACAAAAATTCGAATCAGACTGGACTTGCTTTACCAGATTGGACAATTTCGGATTTTTGTAGATAATAATAATTTGGGTGTTCTAAACCTTACTTCTAGGTCTTGTAGAATATTTAATAAGGAATATAAGTTAGGTGTTTATAATTGATGCTCCAAATAATAAATCATCAGCTACTTAATGATACCATCTAATTGACTTTCTAATAGCAGAATGATAAGAAGATAACTGATCGGATATGTCAATGCCAGACTTTCAAGGACCCTCATTCCGTTTTAGCTTAGCAGCTGTAAGTTCCTTCGGCAAATCCTTTCGATTTTTAAAACATGTATCTAAACAGTATGTCTTCTTTTCCAACAATTTTTGAATGAGCAGCAAACTTGCTAATGTAAAAAATTTCAGTACATATAGTTCTCCCGTGCTAAAATAGGACTTCATTAGAGACATGACCACATTAGTTGCAAGTGATCCATAACTAGATTTCATTTTTTTTACAATATATCATTTTATATGTATAACCACGTTGATCACAAAGTTTAAACAGCTTTATACCATATTTGTGTGATTTTCCTGGGATATGTTGTTTAAAATTTAGTCTGCCAGTAAAAGGCACCATTGAATCGCCAATTACCAAATTTTCTCCAGGTTTTTTCGTATATTGAAATTGTTCTTGTATCAAATAGAGTAGTGGCCAAATCTTGCTGAATCTGTCCTATTCCAAAATGCCAAAATCTTAACAAAAGGGAACACAAGCAAAAATTTGAATTTTGTTGTCCACCCATTTAGGTAGACATACACAATATTTTGATATTTTGAGTTTATGAAAAAAACTCCTGGCACTTAATCTGTTAAAATCAATTTTTCTAAATGTCAAATATTTGTTTCAGTCTCACTTTTGTATATTATTATTAAATTTTTCAATTAATGAAGATAAACACTTTATAACGACAGAATGTTTGGTCATTATGTAACTATTAATACTTTTTTTTATTTAGAGTTACAAGATTTAAGCAGTAACGAACTTACTTATTTACATATTCTTTATGTCAAGTAAGACAAGGAACCTGTCATCGTCGAATAATACAAACATAATAACATTTCTTCTATCAATCAGAATCACAAATATATCAATACATCCAAGGATCCAATACCATAATCTCGTTGACATAACTAAGCGATTTGTTCTGTTGTTGGTTTTTTCTTCGGGAAGAGGAAATCGATAAACTTCTTGCATAACTCAAAGCCTACAAAACAGGCAGCATTCGCCGGGAAGGCTCTAAGCAGTACAGGTGTAATACCCTTATATAAGGCAAGAGGTCCTTCAGTCTTCATCAATTGTTTGAATACATCTCTAATACCGTTCTTGTATGTACCCTCAGGGGCTAAAAATAGGAAGAATTTAGTTTTGAATATTTACTAAAAAAACACGTATTTTAACAGTTTATCACAAGAAAACAAGAATCGAATCCCACACAAGTACTGCTTCAATCTAAAACGTTTTTGCGCCAAACTAAAATATGGTGGGTAAACCTAATTTGATGATGATTTTTTTTTTTTAGATTTTTTAACACTAGACCCCTAGATTTTTATGATGATGGGCTATGGAAGTTCTTTCTGGAATTCACACGAAAAATGAAATTCCTTTAGTTGTCTGTATACCATGAATCACAAAAAGTTTTATTTATCCATTATAAAAGGTATATAATTTAACAATCCACTAGGAAACTAAGTTCCTGTAGCTGGCTGTATATCATATATCACAAAAAATTTATTTCAAATCCTTTATAAAAGGTATATAATAAAATGCCCAAACGGGCTATCACAATTACTTTACAGAATGTTTTCGGATTGTTAAATCCATCATCAGTGTAAACGAGGTATACATGCTATGAGCCACCAAAATATATGGGTCAAAACCCTTTAAATGTTATGAATTTTACAGTTGTTTTACATTATATATAGTTACAAATTAGGATGTTTAAGTTACGTTGGAATTGGTAACATGGCCACGTATGACCCTACATAGGTAAAATGGTCCTGAGACGAAGTGTCTTCGAGGACCTGTTGATAACAACTCAAGTTTTGTTCCCTTTGTCAAGGGAGGTTTTCATGGAGTATAAATAAAGAGGTTGTCTCCCTTTGTTGCCTTTGTCAAAATTTAATTACTGGAAGAAAATTGTTTCTTAAAAAAAAAAAATAAGGACATCATATACATAAGGCAAGGATGATCTTGAAGTGCTGTCATTGTTTAGGACGACATAGCTCTTCCTAGAAGGAAGATTTATAGACAATCGCGATAGATATTATCTAACTCATTTGCCAAAACAGGTTCAGAAAGAAAGAAAATATGTAATAAAAGAAGAAAATAGTATTCATGGCTCAGAATATTGACAGCAAGAAACAAGAAAATAATGTGTGATGGTACCTACGAAGTACGAGTATAAGAGGTACGAATGCCTAACCTTAGATGATTATAAATGCAACAATAATTTATAAAAAATATAAAAAATTTTACCTGTTTGTAATCTGCTTTTTAAAACATCGGCGGGCATGCCTATCAACCAGTTGGATATTCCAGCTGATCCACCAGCCAGAATAGTTCCTAATATAGTGATATCCTTTGTTCCATATTCGGTAACGTAGTCCTTAATAGCTTCGTAAGTAAGGAAATACATTCCCGAAGCAGGAACATCTGTAAAAAAGTTTTAATTATATATGGATGTTGTGTAAAACGAATAGTGATCGATGTCGTGCTAATCAGTGCTAAAATATATAGTATTAGAAAAGACTTTTTGTATAGATTTTTATACTTGTTTCGCGATATATTTTAAATAAGGTGCAAGAGAGAGCAGTCAATTTTCATCTACAGTTTCGTTTGTGTAAGACCGTCCCCACATGAAGCTACTAAAAAGAAACCTAAACTAGTTGGTAACTAGAATTACCAACTGAAATCGTAGGCTTCCACGGCCAGAGTCAGAATTATAGTTTATTCGTCTTCCGGGTTTGGACCGTGTCATTTGTGAGTGACCCAAAAGTGGGTTCATCTCGACGTTTCGCTACAATTGTATGTAGCTTCTTCAGGAGAACAAAGAAAAAAGAAATCAAAAGACAGGAAGATGGGTAGTTAGCAACGGTAACTCAGTTACTCAACGCAACCAGAGGCGAATACTAACTACCAAGATGGGCATTTGGTCACAGTAACTCAACTACTTAACGCAGCCAGAGGTGAAAACCAAATGCCAGGACAGGGATTCACGTCCAACAGCTCAGAAACACTAACGCGTCGAGAGGCGGGGAGTGAATCCGACGATTACTCCGCTACCGCTCTATTTATAGTCGCGGTGACCTGTCGTGTCGGGACGTATCGGCACACTTCCGTGGCGCGAACGTCAAGAAGCGCGCGCTGGCCAATCATGTGGCTGCATCGTGGTAGCGGGACCGGACGGCGGCTCTAGACTGAGATTCCAGATGGGAGACAAGTAGTATCCTTCCTCTCGATTGATATTATGTGGATTTTTTCGGATCTCTAGAGATTCGCGGATTTTCCTAGAATAAAAGAAGGGGCTCTTAGAAATAATATGGGTTTTTTCGAACAATATGGAATGACCGGTTTCTTGGCAGTGTTCTGCAACTGCAGAATGGGAGAAAAGACCTGATCGAATGCATCTTTGATGCTCTTGAATCCGAGTTTTGACGGAACGACCAGTTTCGCCAATATACACATGTCCACATGAACAAGGAATAGAATAGACACCACAGGAAGATAGGGGCGGTAATGGGTCCTTAGGAGAGGGTAGATATTGTGAGATTTTCTTGGGTGGTCGCAAAGTAGTCCTGATACCTTCTTTGCGAAGAATTTTGCCAATCCTATCAGTGACACTTCGAATATACGGAAGAAAAGCCACAGGAGTATTACCCGAAGATTCTGAATTTGTCGTCCTAGGGTTGTAAAGGGAGATGTAGATGTCGGTGTGTAATATTTTGAATTGTGGACTTGGAGTAACGTTGGCGACAAGGGTTTTTTGCAGATGGCCAAGTTCTTCTCTAAGGTTGTCGGTTCGAAATCGAAATAAATTCACAATGGAAGTAGAAAATAATTGGTCCCTTCCCTTTCTCGATGTGTTAGTCACCTCCAAGCCCAATGACGATTGGGTCACTCTGTTTATAGAAAAAGACTCACACGAAATCGTTACCTACATGCTTCATCAACACCACCATCCTGCCAAAAGAATTCTGTGATCAACTCTCTCATCCATCGGGCCATTTCGGGCCATTTCGAATAAACTATAAGAATTACCAACTGTTTACTTACTGTGACTGGACACTATGCTACTGAAAATTAATAGAAACGAGTCACTTCTTGCCTGTACGAGTAGCTTTGTTATAGGGTGTTTAAATTTTAACTTTATATTATATTATTGAGTGTTATTATCGAGTTAAAAATGTCTAGTGACTCAAGGCATGAAGATTATTCTTTTATTATTATAATAGAAGACATAAAATGCAGAAAAAAAGGAGGTATTGGGTTCATCCCTACATTGCAAACAATATAAATTGTTTTTTCTACTTCTTGCACTAATTTTATATTCATTGACTGTTCTACCAATTTCGCCATTTCGGGTTATAAATCTTTAAAAATATCACAATAAACTAGAAACTAGACCCATGCGACCTGCACGTACAGTCCGCTGTCGACTGATCACTGATGCATTAGAATTAGAGTGTTGCCAGATGAAAATTTCTCATAACAGTAGAATAGGACATAAAAAAACAGTAGATAACAGGAGATGGTTGAGTTTACCGAAAGTACAAGCTGAATATAGCTACAAATGTCAACCATAAAATAAAATATTTGGGTTTCGACAGTGTTGGGATGTTTTTATAATTCATATTTTGTATGTTTCAAATATAAAGAGAGAAAGCTTTTAAAAAGTACAGTTTGATTATACTATTTTATGAATTCTGAAATTTTTTATTTTCTATGAAATAATAACGAGTAAATATTTGTCTCTTTCAGATTAATTGCAAACATCTTTTGTAATCTGGCAACTGCTGATTTGACGATTGCCAAATCTATCCCCTAATCTATCAAAGGGTAATTGCTAAAAAAATTCTAATAATTAACTGCAATTAATCTCCAAAGAAACAAATATTTTCTTATTCTTGTTTTACATAAATAAAAAATTGCAGAATTCATAACACAATATAATCAAATGTATTTTTCTAAAACTTTATCTCTTTATATTTGAAACATGCAACACATACATCACAAAAACATGCCAACACTGCTAACCGAAATTTTTGTTACATGACATTTGCGGCTATAATCAGCTTGTAACTTTCGATAAAACAACCATTGGGTGTTGATTGCGCTTTTTCTACACAGATGGAGATAGCACTAACTAACAGAAGTGAAGCAAGAAGTAAGTTGTATTTAAATTCAGGTTTCACAAAATTTGATATTTAAACTTGTCTCAGCCGCTAAATAATCTCAAATTGTACCAAATATTGTATCAAATGTAATAACAAATATCATATTATAGTGGAAATTTTAACAGGAGATTTTGAGATTCAAAACAGGAGAACAGGAAGAAGAAGTATTAAAAAACAATAGATCTCCTGTTAAAACAGGAGATCTGGTAACAGTGGACTAACTAGTAGCGCTGTGTGCGGATGTTCATTAAAATACATGGACTGTAACTAAATAAGCAACTGATTGGTAACTAAAGTTACCAACTGGTTTCTTTTTAGTAGCTTCATGTGCGGACGGCCTAATAGTATCAAGGGCTACCCAAAATCCTAAAAGAAGTAGTGGGCATTTTATAAGAAGCAGTAGACGGGTAAAGCTAATATCAGATATCACAGTTCGGCGCGGTAGCGAGAGACAACAACATCGACTGTAGCAGTTCTTGTTAGGACGTGGTGAATGTAGGACCACAAGCGATTTCGCTGTTAATTAATACGCAAAAAGAACACCACAGGAACTCAGATTGTAATCAAATCGTATCAAAGTAACAGCACTTTGAAGTTACAAAATAAAAATTGTTTTTTGCTCCTAAACTACTTGACATTTTGTAATAAAAATGGACACGTTACTTTCTTGTTCTGAAAGCATTTTTTATACAAAAGAAACAACAAAATCTAAGCGCATAGAAAAATTTTAAGGGGGTATGTAGCCCTAGATCCCCCCAATCTTTTGAGTACGTTTAAATCAACTGAAATGTGTGGCATCATTAGTTTACCACAATTATTTTTAAAAACTTTTTGCCTCGTATCACTTTTTCGAAAAACTAGTTTTTCCTATAGAAAATGTCACACCGAGAGTGCAGTACGGCTAATATAGGAATGCTCAATTGCCGGATTTCACGCCTTGTGCTTGGCGATACAAACAGGTCCAAGTGGTAGTCACAGAACCGTACCCAGATCTCTACGCGCCGGGCTCTGTTATTTATTATAAAATAATATATTGATAAAATAATTGCCTTCAAGTAGCCAAATAAGATGCATGAATTTGAATAAAAAGACCTTAAGTTTTTTAGCGAGAATTTTATTATAAAACTGTATACTTTTATTAAACTAACAAATGTATTTTAAATTACATTTCTTGATAGCTATAAATATAGCGGGTGGAACCTCAGGTAACTCGATTTCCGTGCACCAGCCAATATCCAAGAAAAACTTTTTCTTTGTAAATATGTGAAAAATTATCAGGAACGGGAATATCGAAAAAGCTTTTGCACATTTTTTAATCCCGGCGATGTTATTAAAAAAACACAGTTGCGCCCTTGAATCACTGCGAAATTTGAACACCTACCTACTATGAATTTTTTTTGTGGAAATCTGAAGTGCAGTTTTTGTCCTTGTTAAAACATAATGCAGTCTGCATTTTTAACACAACATAAGTTTGCCTAGTTCCTTGGCATAGCAACTGGTAGTTTTCAGCGAAAACCTTGTGTTACTCCATATGGGATAATGGTTTTCCTTGCGCACACTTGACCAGACTGAGCAGGTATAAGGTTTATAGTGTAAGTTATTTAACATTATATTATATTTTATATTTTATTAAATTAATAAATATATTTTACCCAGCCCAATATCCGAAAAAGCCCATACTCTGATTGGACTGGTAAATGAATTTTATTGGTTATACAGTGTAAAATAATCGAGGTTACTCACAGATATTCAATTAATTATACTAAAGTCGTCCTCTAGATCCGAGATGTCGGATTCGCTTTCGCTACTCTCCCCTGTGTTCGCGTGTATTATCAATTGGTCTACGTCATCTTGCAGGTCGTCCGCAGTCCACATCTCAGTTTCCGTTTGTCTTTAGGTAGGCCTCAGACTGATCGATCGACCACGACCAACCGTCCGACGGCGATCAACCAAATTTTGTATTTTTATTTTTAAACTCACATTAATCGTTCGTGTTCCATCGACCGACCGTTAGAAATTTCAGGAGGGTGTAGCAACATAACCAAATTTTCGTAATATTATTTTACCAGGCTTTTTGTAGAATATTGAATTATGGATAGAATTGCAGTGATGATTCTACTGATAAATTATTTATCACTTATTTAATGTGGAGACGTCTTCGTAGGCGTAGGACAGTTTGGGTGCGAGATATTTTTTTAAAAAGACACTAACAAGGAGAATTCTTTGTATTATATCCCATTCTATTAAATGATAGTATTAAATTTAAAAATTGTTATCGCATGAGCAAGCCCTGTTTTAAAAAACTTGTAGAATTGGTAGAGCCTAATTTTTGTATTGGATATACAAACTGCAGACAAACTATTGGCTTTTTAGAACGTCTTACTGTTACTATAAGGTCAGTATCTAAAATCAGTAAATACAAAATCACTTATGGGTATGTCCTTGACAATAATTGATTTTTGTCTTGCTTAATAGTAACCCCTAATAAAAACGCAAAGAAAAAAACAACAAAAGTTTTATAGGTTAATTAATAATTTTGATATTTCAATGGTCAATGTCATTGCTCAGAACAGTATAAATGAATGCGAATGTTCCATATTCATCGACCAAAGGATCAAAAATTCCAACAAGTCCGAATTTCAAAACTGGACGATCGCGGTCGGTCGCTGAAAGTGATGGACGGTCCATCAGCCTGACTCTACACATACATTTTCATAGGCTCGTAATGTTGGTCGATCGTGGACGGTCGGTCTGGTCGAGCAGTCTGATTTCTCCTTTTAGTTGGCCATAAAATTACAATTAGTTTCTACGGATACAATAATTACAAACAGTTCCATCAATAATAGTCAATAATTTGAAGCTATCATTTATTGTATGAATAAGAATATTATTAAAAATTTTGATATTTACAATGGCCTAAACATTTCAGGAAAATGGCAGATATAGAAAATGTCAAGGAAATAGTGCAGCAGCCGCAAGGCGTTATGCAGTAATATAACCCAATCGAAATACCACCCATAGACGATCTATTTTAGACCATTGATCGTCGTTTACAGGAAACGGGTACATTCCAACCGCATGTTGCTGGCAATAGTGGTCGTCGAATAATGAATGAAATCATTGAAGAAGTCCCTGGAACAAGTATAAGGGTAATAGCTGCTCAACTAAATGTTCCTCGCGTAAGGGTCTGGAGGCGTTTGAAGGATCAGCTGCTTAAACCCTATCACTTAACAACGGTTCAAGAGTTATTGGTTGAAAATTATCCCAAAAGGATTGGATTTTGCGATTGGTTGTTCATGGAAAACACTCGAAATGTCGACGAAAATCATCACGCCAAAAAAAACACTCATCACCAAAGAACTTTCAAAAGTTAATGTTTGGGCAGGAATTGTGGATAACAATTTAATAGGCCCAGTTTTTCTTCCCAACAATTTAACAGGTGATAATTATTTGCAGTTCTTGGCAAACGATTTACAAGAGTATTTACAAGAAGTAAATATTGCAATAAGGCACAATATGTGGTTTCTACAAGATGGCGCTCCACGCATTATAGTAATGAAGTCCAGGAATACCTTTGCAGGCAGTACCCAGGCAGGTAGATTGGAAGGGGTCGTGACGCACCTATTTCTTGGCCACCCAGAAGTCCGGTCTTAACCTCATGGACTTTTGCTTTTGGGAGTTTATGAAAGAGAAAATGTATTCTGTATACAATTGAGGACTAACAACAATTGAGGGTTGGAATAATTGAAGCTTCAAATCAATTTCGTCAGAAAATATGAATTTTTCCTTATTAAAACGATACCGAATGCGTATTGAAAAAAATGGGGATCATTTTGAACATTTATTGTAATATATTTATAGAGGTTATAGACATTTTATGTACTTTTTAATTCATTTAAGCCATTTATTTAATTGCACGTAATTTTTTAAAGGTTAATGAAAGGGCTGTAACTCAATATAAACTGTTTTTTAAAAAAGTGATGAGGCAAAAAATTTTTAAAAATTTAAAATTTGCCTGCACACCCCCTTTAAATTTTTCTGTGCGCTTAAATTTTGTTGTTTCTTTTTATGAAAATGCTTTCAGAACAAGAAAGTAACGTGTTCATTTCTATTACAAAATGTCAAGCAGTTCAGGAGATAATGCAAAAAAAAAAAAATTATTTTTTACTTCAAAAGGCTGTAACTTTGATACGATTTGATTCAATCAATTTATTTTTTTATTTTTTATCCCGGGAATGCGTGATTTAATTTATGACATACCTTTTTGAAACACTCTGTATTTTGCATATACGTTAAATAAAATAGGATAGAACATCCATTCCTGACTAACGCCCTTTTATATATTAATATCCTTTGAATTCCCTGACTCCTGTTTAGGATAACATACGTAGAAATCGCGTTGTAGCAAAGAAAGTTAGAAACAACAACAAAATTAAATAAAAACCATTCTATTTTCAAAACGGGTTTCACCAAAAAGAGTCATATTCAAAAAATATTAATAATTAAATAATTAAATAAATTTACTTTGGGCCAGTACATAATTATTTATACACCCTGTACATGTATATTTTATTCAATATTTCTTTTTTCATTTACAATTTATATGCAAGGGAAAGAAATAGTACCTGATTTTGGGAACATCTTTATATATGGACAATTTAGAACAGATAAATTTTTCATTTATCAGGAAGCGAGTGGGGGTGAACATCCTGCTATTATCATAAATGGTATAGATGAAATTCTCTGCAGTTTCAGAAAAATGTTTAAATATGTGGCTCTGTTGATTGTGATTTTATGCTACACCGAAAATGTAAGTAATAGTTTATTCACAAAAAAGTTTTTAAAATTTATATAGAATAAAGTAGTGAAATCAGGATGTTCATGTATATTATCCCCTTGCCCGTTTTCATTCTGCTCAATTAGGACACAATATTAGTTACATTTTTTGATATTTCTTGACAATTTTCCATCGATTTTTGTTATAGGCAATTTTGATGATACCTTGTTAACTTTTTTCAAATATCTTGTTGAAAATAATCAAAAATTCAGATCGCCGTTATATTTCTACAAACTCCGTTGCTTTATTACAATGAAAACAAAATAAACTAATTCTCCTCATAATTTAATCATATTTTGTTCGTCTATATCAACAAATTTGGAGATATTATTATACATTTTAAAGTAAAATATTTATTCATCGTAAATCATGAGGAAAAACAAGAAAAAGTACACAATGCACTGCAACGCAATTTCTGCGGTCTTTTAATTCGTTTTATACTGTTTCTATGTTTAGCTGTATAGTTCTTTCATAACTATTGATCAATTTTTAAACTCTATTTTCATTTTTTCATGTATTTTGGATATCTTCTTCTTCAGATGCAAATCCACTAATGGATGTTAGCGATCACATTTTCCATTAATTCTCTATTTCTTGCAATATGTATCAGAGATTGTATGTCGTTAATCCCTGTCCATTGCCTTATGTTTCGGAGCCAGGACATTTTCTTGCGTCCCATTCCTCTCTTGCCTTCAATTTTACCCTCGATTATAAGTTGGAGGAACTGGTATTTTTCATTTCGCATGATGTGACCTAGATACGCCGTTTTCCTTTTCTTGATGGTTTCGAAAAGTTGGCGTTCTTGGTTTATTCTTTTAAGGACATCTATATTTGTGATTTTCGCTGTCCATGGTATTTTTAGGATACGGCGATAAAGCCACATTTCGAAAGCTTCTAATCTGTTTATATCCCTCGTTTTGAGTGTCCAGCCCTCTACGCCATATAGCAGCACTGACCATACGTAGCACTTAGTAAACCTTAGTCTCAGTTGAAGATCAAACTCTGAACAAGTCAGTACTTTCTTGAATTTTACGAAAGCTTGTCGAGCTTGCTCAATGCGACATTTTACTTCCCTGTCCGATGCCCAGTCTTCAAAAAGCCACGATCCCAGGTATTTAAATTTACTCACTCTTTCAATGGACTTAGTATTCAGTGTTATGGTGGAGTTTTCAAGTGCATCTAAGTTTCTGGAGATGATCATAATTTGGTCTTTTTGGTATTAATCTCTAATCCCATTCGCTTACTGTATTCTCCGATTATAGTGACAAGTTGTTGAAGATCGACTATGTTGTCACAAATTAAGACACCATCATCAGCATATCGTATGTTGTTGATCAATACTCCATTCACCTTGATTCCCATCTCTGCATCCTCCAAAGACTCTTGAAATATGGCTTCCGAATAAATGTTAAATAAAAGAGGGGAAAGCACACATCCCTGTCGAACGCCTCTTCTTATATGTATGGGTTTGGATATAGAATTGTCTATTTTTAACTGTGCCGTTTGATGCCAGTACAAGTTTTCAATGCATCTTATGTCTTTTTGGTCTATATCAACTTTCTTGAGAATCTGCATTAACTTGTGGTGTTGGACACGATCAAACGCTTTTTGGTAATCTAAAAAGCATAGGAACACATCCTTCCTCTGATCGTAACAATTTTGGACCAGCACCTGTGTTGCTACTATTGCTTCTCGTGTTCCTAAACCTTGCCTAAACCCGAACTGGGAATCACTGATGTCCCATTCACATTTTTTGTATAATCTTTGATGTAGTATTTTTAAGAATATCTTTAAAGTGTGACTCATCAGGCTAATGAGTCTGTGATCCTCACATCTTTTTGCATTGACTTTCTTGGGCAGGGAATAAAGGTAGAGCGTAACCACTGTTGAGGATAGCAGCCAGTTTCATAAATTAAATTAAATATTTTGTGTAGTGCTGAAATTCCCCTTTCATCTAGTAATTTGAGTATTTCTGACGGGATTTCATCTGGTCCAGGTGCCTTATTGTTTTTTGAATTTAATATTGCCTTTTCTATCTCCTCTTTGGTGATTGAAGGGCCAGTCAGCTGGTCGTCTGTATAAACTTCACTCATGGGTCTTTCGTCATGGAAGAGCTCCTGGATATAATTTTCCCATATATCAATTTTCTCCTTTTCACCCAGCACTATCTGGTTATCCTGATTAACTATGGTAGTTGGTCTTCGTTTTCTGTATATTCCAGCAGTCTCCTTAAGCTTTTTATGTAAATTACGGTCGTCGTGCTGTCGTTGTAAATGTTCTAGATCGATACATTGTTGCTTAAGCCATTCATTTTTTGCTATTCTTATTTTTGCTTTTATTTGCCTGTTAATGTTTTCATACATATTGCTGCCATCTTGGTCATTCTTGTGTCTTCGTCGTTCTTCCATTAGTAATAGTATTTCTTCTGTCATCCATTTTTGCCTCTTGTTATTTCGTTTGTACCCTAAGTTGTTTTTTCATGATGTCTGTTACAGCACTTGTAATCGTATTCCATGTTGGTGTTAGATCTTCGGTAATGTTTGTCGTCAATATTTGAATTTGTGCGTTTATTTCATTGCTTATTTCTGCTTGTATCATGGGTCTTTCAGTTTAACCAGTGCTATCTGTTGTTCAGTTTCAGGCTTGTTCTTGCATGAAAGAGCGATCTTTATGACGGCCACTAATAGTACGTGGTCAGAAGGGACATCTGACCACGTACTATTCAGATGTATATCCATTTTGGATATGCATCTGAAACATATCACTTTAACTCTTCAGAACACTCTTGTGACATTTTTTATTCATTAAATTCTACATTTCAGTTCATTCAATTGAAACGATTTGCTTATTTTGTGAAAAAATGTGTGTCGTACTAATGTTGGTAGTACTTCTCTGGACACTTTTTAAGTTCTGTATTTTCTCCTTGTTTAATTTTTTTCAATCTTTCACTTTTTTCTTTTAGTTTGTAATAATTTTGTAGTACACGGACTACTAGGTTTACTATCTTTCGTAGTACCACTTTTTCATTCATCATTTTATATCCAATAAATCTTTACACAAACTTCTAATATCCCTAATGCCAGGTCCAGACCAAACAGACAAAACAAAAACATTCATGTTTCGCGACAAAGTGGCGACAAATCGAAAACATTTCTGAACAATTTTGTTTTGTTTGCAAATTTGAAAACTTTTTCAGGTCCCGTCTCAGGTCGGTAAAGATCAAAAAAGTGTGTGTTTTGTCTGTGTATTTGACGACAAGTTGTCGGCGCAGTGTGGACGCGTGTGCGTGCCAAAACGAGTTAAGCAGTAGGAGAAATAGAATGTACAATTTTTATCAAAATTAAGTGTATTTTTCTATTACTTAGTCTCAACACAAATGTTCACTCAACTCCATCCAATTCCAACCCAAAACATTTGTACTCAAATCCACCCAGCACTGACACACAACATTCATACTCAAATCCTCCCAGCATTGACACACATTTATACTCAAATTCACCCAGCATTGAACATTTATACTCAAATCCACCCAACACGCAACATTCATACTCAAATCCATCTAGCGCTGACCCACAAAATTCTTACTTAAATCCACCCAAACACGAACACACAACCTTTATTTTCACATCCACCTAGTATTGACGCAGAGCTTTCTCAGTATTCAGATCAAGAAAACGAACGAAATTGATGATGAACTTTTTGAATGTAAAAACAAGTAGACTCGTCATTATTTTGCATGTAGTATGTACTATCGTCAACTTCTTTTGTATTAAACATTTAACCAATAAATATGGAGTTTATTTTAAGGGATATTAACAGAAAAATAGTAATGAAAAAAGTTTAACATACCTGTACATAACCACTAAGACTGTTAATTAAAGCTTTACATACTTCAGGAATTATTACAGATATTGATTGCTTTGATACTTTTGAAAGATACATTAGGCTGTGGTAGGAATCACCTGTTGCTAAAAATCTTAAAGTGATTGCTAACCTTTCTGTTACACTCATAGCAAGTTAGTATGTCTTTTTGCAACTGCAGGACCAACAAGGCTTATTAGATTCTCAAAATCTTCTATGTCCCACTTTATGTTTTCTAGTTCCCACTTAAGTTCAGTGAGTCTTTCATCAGATAGTAGGGAACGTTCATTATATAGGAACATTATTTCAACTCATTAAAAGTCTAGATATACATATTGATAAGTTCAACCTTTTAAGAAAATAAAAAATATGTTAACTGTCTCAGCTACGTGACACAAAATATGTATGTGATAGGTTAAATTAACAACCAAACAATGTCAATTTACGATCAGCTGAAGATTTTTAAAATGTTATGCATTTTTACAGATAGCAGCATCATGGGACCAAGACATAAACTGTCCCTCAATATGCACATGCCACTTGGAACATCTAACAGAAACAGCGATATCCAGATTTATGCAGAAACACAAGGAGAAACCGATACCTGGAGAAATAGGGACAATGGAAAATAACGATGTAAGTGACTTTTTACTAAATTAATTCAATATTTATTTGTGTCTATTACAATTGTTATCACTTATTAAATAATGTATGTCAAGTATAGAGATAAAAGGTTTATATAGCCATTGATTATGAAAAATAAGATATTGAATCACTGCTAGGAATGTAAACAATTGGACAAAATTCGTAAATAATACTAAAATGATCCCCCTTTATCGTATGCTGTAGTGTATTATGAATTGTTAGCCCTTTTGTAGAAGTTTCTTCGTTTTCATAATAATTATTTCCTGTAATTATTTGTTTCCTCCTATTAGACTAGGCGGGATCTGTAGAAATTCAGACCATAATGGACATTTTCCATAGGAAGCTATTTTTTTGCTGGAATCCCTTTAGGATGTGCCCAATATCGATAATCACGATATGCGCCAGTTGCAAACTCTGTGCTAAATTTTTTATTTAACAAAATCTGAAAACAATTGAGAATTTCTCATTTTTTTGCTCCTATTTTCGTTTATAATTCGGAATATATTGATCCTACAGAAAAAATTATAAGAAGTTAAAACTTTCGTTATTCAATTTTACATAATATTTCGTTAGCTAGAAATTGAAAATTTGATGTTTGTTGTTGAAAAAATAGCAATAATTGGAAAAATAAGTACAAAAAAATGAAGTTAATCCTTTAAATGTTTTCGACTTTCTAAACTTGACTTAGAAGCTCCATATTCCGACTAGAAAAATTTTTTAATATGTTTAAAACGTGTGCTAAATTTTGTTAAGATCGATCGGATAGGTTTTGCATAATAATTTTGCAATCCCGCCTACTGGAAAAAAATCGCAAATTTTTAAAATTTATAGTAGCCCCTAAATAAGGCCCTCAGATAGTTGCAATTTTTTTTACATATAAAGGAAGGCTCAAACTTTCAAACGCTTTTTATAAAATTCAAATCGGTTCACTAGGAGAGTCTAGAAATTTTTTTAAAGTTTTAAACATTTTTTAGGCTTATAAACAAATTGAATAACTTTACGAGCTTTAAACATATCAATTTCAAAATTTATACACTTCTCCCTCTTCAATCCTGACCCCCCAGGGGGAGTGTAGTGGTCGACGTGATGTCGTGTATTGTCCGTCTCCAGAGATTTCTGTCTCTGGTCATTTCTTTTAATTCATGCATAGGTCTTTGGCATATTCCTCTAATTTGATCTATCCATCTTGTTGGGGATCTTCCTCGTGATCTTCGGCCTTCTACCTTTCCTTGTATTATGAGTATTTCCATGTTTTCTGTGTTTGCTCTCATAACATGACCAAAATATTTTAATTGTTGGAGATGGACTTTACTAGAGAGTCGTTGGCTAACTTGTAGCTCTCTTAAAATTGAATTATTTGTTCTACGGTCGGTCCAAGGAATTCGTAACATTCGTCTCCAACAGAACATTTCAGTGGCGTCTATCTTTTTTCTCTCTGATTGTCTCAGAGTCCAAGATTCACATCCGTAGGTCAGTATTGGGAATATTAAGCAGTTGATCAACCTCATCTTTATCGCTCTTGAAATTTGACATTCCTTCCATATTTTGGTCATTTTTGCTGTGGCAACTTTTGCTAGATCACATCTACGTTTAATCTCTTCTTGTAATGACCCTGTGTTTGTGATTAATGATCCCAGATATAAGTATGAGCTCACAACCTCGAACCGGTCAATTGTGGTTATGTGTGGATGATTGTTGTGTAGTCTATCCACTATCATGATCTTTGTCTTTGATATGTTTAATTGCAGACCAAATATTTGACTTTCGTTTTCGATCAGTCGTATAAGTTTCATCAGCTCTCCTTGACTATTTGCAAGAAGGGCTGTGTCATCTGCGAAACGTAGGTTGTTTAGTCTATGAACATTTATTGAGATGCCCTTTTCCCATCCTTCAAGTGCTCTTCACATAATATACTCATATATTCGCATATATGTTGCATAATTGTGGAGATAGTATACATCCTTGTCTGACACCCCGTTCTGGATGAAACTCGTTCGAAAGTGTGTCAAGTACTTTAACTGATCCAGTAGTGTGTTCATATAGTTCAGTTATAAGCGTAATTAGATGTTGTGGTACGCCTACTTCTTTTAGTATTCGCCATAAGTGTCTCCACTTGACCCTGTCGAACGCTTTACGGTAAACTATAAAACAGATGTATAGTGGGATGTTGAATTCCCTAGATTTCTCGATTATCTGTCTTATATTCAGCAGGTGTTCTCGAGTGCCTCTACCTTTGGTAAATCCAGTTTGCTCTTGTGGAATTTCTCTTTGAAGGAATGTTTTCAGTCTCTCATTGATTATATGTAGCATTATCTTGCTGGCATGGGATATAAGAGAGATAGTTCTATAATTGTCGCATTTATGGAAGCTGCCTTTTTTATGTATGGTCGTTATTGTAGATTTTGTCCAGTCTTCAGGCCATTGTTTGGAATGCCATATTTGGTTACAGAGTAGATGAAGTAACTTTACGCCGGTTTCTTCTGTGACTTTAAGCATTTCTGCTGTTCTTTGCATCTGGACCTGGTGCTTTGTTATATTTGAGCTTGTTGATAGCCTGTCTTACTTCATTTTCCAGTATATCAGGTTCTTCTTCCACCTCGTCAGAGATTTGGCTAACAAGCTCTTGGCGTTGATCATCTTTATATAGGTCCCTGCAATACGATCTCCATGTCTCTGCTATGTCTTCTCTGTTTGTTCTCAGGGTTCCAGTGTTATCTTCAATGGCCCAAGTTCTGGCTCTGGCTCTTTATACACTTACAGAACATTAAAAGACGCTTCTTTAAAAAAAAGATACATTCGGCTTACTGGTTGCCGAGATATTGAAGGTCAAAGTTGGCATACATTTGCCGTGTAACCATAAGTGATAGAGGGCTCGTTTTTAAACAAATACCCTCGTCTTGTCAAGTACTTTTTATATGAAAAGTTTTACGTAATGCGCTTCATGGCAACATCCATAAAAAGGACAAATAATAAAAAACCGCTTTCGTGTAAAATGTCGGGTTCAAAATCATAGCGCGCGCTAAAAATTGCATTATCTCGGTTTCTTGTTAACCAATGTTGCTCTTTTTTTTTTGAATCGATGTCTCGGACGACAAGGATTTCAAATATCATTTTTTCAAATACCATTTTTAAATGCAAATTCGAAAATTTGCAATAAACAATTGTATGATTATGGAGTCGTCATTTTTTAAAGTTCTTATAGCCTTTAGTTCCTCTTTGCTTATGTTTTGTTCAATTTTAGTAGATTTTTCCAATTCAAGTTTACATAACACTCTGTATTCTTCCTTTTCGTGGGTTGGTAAGCATTGAGATATTTTCTCCACTGAGCTTATTATGTCTAATTTTGGAACGGATGGCTGAGTAATAGCAAAGTTTAGACCCTTTGACAGTATTAAATTCTGCGTTGCATTTAAATGTCTATTTGATAGATTGACAACTGTCGCTAATATGTCATCGTTTCTATTGAGGTTATCTATAAGTGTGTATACTGTTTTGTTCTAAAAGATATTAAATTTATTTAAATGTATATTTCTTTGTTTTCTATATGAATTTTCATATACTATATGTAAACTAAAAATAATTTGATCAAAATCAGAATTTGATATCACATTGAAAAGCAAATCTTCATACTTACAATATCTTGTTCAACAAAAAATAAATTCGATCTATGATATTGTAATCTTTCTCGGATCATGGACAAACTGGCTCTATGTAGAATGTTTTCCAACCTTCTGCTTGAATATGCTGGACGTAACTTCAAGCCCTTTGGTATTAGGTTGTTATCTCTACATCTTCGTAAAAATTTAATTGAATTTTGACAGTGTGCCAGTTTCTTGTATAGAATTTCCAATCTCCTAAAATTTTGAATAACGCTGGGCCCATAACGGTTTCTTAATATTGTTCTGAAGCTATTTTCTTGTGGCATTGTAAATTAATTACTATTTAACTGGGAATAAGCCACAATTAAAGATAAAAATACGTTTATTGACGTTTCAATTTCCACTTCGGAAATCGTTCTCAAAATACAAACAGTAAATTGACAATTAAATAAATAAATACAATTTACTGTTTGTATTTTGAGAACGATTTCCGAAGTGGTAATTGAAACGTCAATAAAAATTGTATGTTAAACAAGTAATTGCATTTTTTCTTCATGTCATTTTTTTGAGCTTGCAATTTATACATTGAAGTAAATTGTTACTTTTGGTAAACAAATATGTATTTATAAATTGTTCATAAATAATTTTAATTGTTAAAACAAAGGCGAACGAAATAAACTTTATTTTGACTCAATCTTCAATAATTTTTTTAAAGTCTTTTTCTTTTTTTGGAAGGACAAGAATCTTCAGGTCTTATTTCTTCCTTAAAACCTTCATTTTCCATTTCAATATCTTCATCCTCGATCTGTAAATTTAACGTTTCTTCTCCTTCATCTGTAGCTTTATCTTGTGCCTCTAGAAAATCTAAGGAATCCATCGACTCCATATCCATATCTCGTTCAACTTCTTCCAATATTTTACTGTGTTCAATATTTTTACATGTCTGACCATTGCAGTGAAGACAATAGTCAGAACATTTGAGACCATGTTTGATACAACTGCATGTTTTTGTACAAAGTTTTTTACATTTGCAACTAATATTTCTGAATAATGAGTTTGGTAGTAATACCTAGAACTCGCCGATTCACATTTCGAGTAAATGTCCCCCACCAATACCTCTCATACATTCCGAGGGACATTTTACGTGGAAAACGGTTTTTTATTTGTCTTTTTTATGGATGTTGCCATGAAGCGGCATTATACGTAATATACTTTTCATATAAAAAGTACTTGACAAGACAAGGGTATTTGTTTAAAAACGAGCCCTCTATCACTTATGGTTACACCGCAAATGTATGCAAACTTTGACCTTTAAATATCTCGGCAACCAGTAAGCTGAATGTATCTTTCTTTTTTAAAGAAGCGTCGTTTAAATGTTCTGTAAGTGTATAAATTTTGAAATTGATATGTTTAAAGCTCGTAAAAGTTTATTCAATTTTGTTTATAAGCCTATAGTTTATTTTTATGAACGAGAGAGTAATTAGCATAATTTTAACTGGTACCTTCGACCACTCCATGGGCGTGCTCAAGATTAATTGAAAAATTACTTTGAATAATTGTAAAAAAATAAATGAATTATTTCAGTGTTATAAAGTGTTATGTGTATGTAAACAAAAGTGACCTCTTTTTATCACACACTATATTAGAACTGACTGGCCTACATTAAAAAAGGGTTTTAAAAAATTCACATTTTTTTTTAATTTTTAAAAATTACAAAAGAGAAAAAGAGTTTTTTAAAACCGTCTAAGGTATGTTAAATAGATGAATAAAAATATTAATATAAAACTTACAGCTACTTGTTACAAATCCAAATCAGATTCAGAAGATGAACTTTCAGAACCAAGATTTATAATAACTGGCTCGATCATTTTATCAGTAATATTGTCCAGCTTCCACATTTTTTCCTCTTCTTTAATAGTGTGATTTACTGCCTTTTCCCAGTTTTCAGGTTTTACATTATTTACGGCCTCCAAAAACAACTGTTTAACATCATGAATTTTAAAAGTGGTATTTTTTCTTGAAACTTCACTCTTTATCTGTGCCCATACCAGTTCAATCGGGTTTAATTCACAATGATATGGTGGGGATCTAAGTACTGTCATTCCACGATTTTTGGCAATTTCATCAATTTCGTATTTTTTAAATTTTTCTTTATGAAGGGCACACAACGAAATAAAGTTCCTTTCTTATAGATCCGGGATGGTACGTAATATTTTTTGAACTCAGCCAATTCTGCAAGTCTTTTTTTAACCACTTGGTTGTGGGCAGTCCTTCTATAAGTCTGGAGTGATAACTTGCATTATCCATTACTATTACACAGTTCTTAGGAAGAAGATCTATCATTTGTTCGAACCATTCTTGAAAGACATCAGCGTTCATGTCTTCATGGTAGTCACCGGTACGAGTTGATTCAAAAGTTAATAACCACCTTCAACAAAACCGTCTGAACTGCCAATGTGTACTATTATCAGCCTGCGTCCCTTTCCTGATGGTGGGTTTAAACCAGTAGATAAGTTATTTACAAAAGCGTGCCTTTGACTTGTAACAGTTTCATCCTGCCAAAATTTATTTGGTGTATGACCCTCGTTGATCCATGTTTCATCAAGATAAAATATTTTTCTTTTTTGGTTTCTCATTTCCTTTATGGTTCTTAGAAAATGTCTTCTCCATATGACAATATCGCTTCTTTCTAATAAAATAGACTTTCTGGGATTCTTTTTCCAGCGGAAGCCTATTTCTTTTAAAAGTTTCCATAACGTACTTCGACTCATTTCTGGGTAATCCTTATCATCTCGAACTGAGACAAGAACTTTATCCAATGTTGGAAATTCTTGTTCTAAAGAAGAATTCATGCACTTTCCGTCGAAGTCCTTCTTTAAAATGATATTCTATTTGAAATTTTGGTTTCCCTGGAGCATTACGTGGCATTTGAAAACTACCACATTTCTCTTCTTTAATAACTCTGTAAATCGTAGATTTCCCAACACCAAGTGTACTGCTAACTAACTCAACGGTCTCATCAACACTTTCACATAAACGTTTGTCTGTAAATGATTTAAAACAATTAAATATTAATGTTTTTTCATTAACTGTTAAAGGACCAATTTTTCGGCGTTTACACGGCACTTCCAAATTTTCCATAACACTAGTATACACAATAAACTGCACCTTGCAACTGAAGTACCTACTTTTAGTGAACTGTTAAGAATTTTGAATACGCCACTTGGACCTTCCTACAAAATGGAAAAACCCACTATCACATTTTCTGTGGAATAAGTTTAGAAGGTAATTATCTAGTCAATTACTGTCGTAGAATTCCTGGAATTAAAGAATTAAATGTTTGATTGTTTGTGAAACTCTCTTAACTTTATCTGATTATTTAGCACTTATAATTAGGTGATGTATGTAACCCATCTCACGAACTTATTGTATTTACTTATTCTGCTCCAACCTTTATACCTGGTGGTCATACTCAATTTAAAATTGTTTTCCTATATACTTCTGTAAACTTGTTGACAAATATCTGTTTTTCATTGAGTCACCCGTATCAACAGTTAAGGATTGTGCATACATATATTTATTGTTTTATTACTCTCTCATACATAAAAATACACTATAAAAAAATGTTTAAAACTTTCAAAAAAATTCTAGGCTCTCCTAGTGAACCGATTTGAATTTTATAAAAAGCGTTTGAAAGTTTGAGCCTTAATTTATATTTAAAAAAATTTGCAACTATCTGAGGGCCTACTATAAATTTGAAAATTTGCGATTTTTTTCCAGTAGGCTGGATTGCAAAATTATTATGCAAAACCTATCCGACCGATCTTAACAAAATTTAGCACACGTTTTAAACATATTAAAAAGTTTTTCTAGGCGGAATATGGAGCTTGTAAGTCAAGTTTTAAAAAGTCGAAAACATTTTAAACGATTAACTTCATTTTTTTGTACTTTTTTTTCCAATTATGGCTATTTTTTTCAACAATAAACATTAAATTTTCAATTTCTAGCTAACGAAAATATTGTGTAAAAATTGAATAACGAAACTTTTAACTTGTTATAATTTTTTCTCTAGGATCAATATTTCCGAATTATAAACGAAAATAGGAGCAAAAAATGAGAAATTTTCAATTGTTTTCAGATTTTGTTAAATAAAAAAATTTAGCACAGGGTTTGCGACTGGCGCATATCGTGATTATCGATATTGGGCACATACTGAAGGGATTCCAGCAAAAAAATAGCTTCCTATGGAAAATGTCCATTATGTCTATTTATTTTCTTTATAATTATCAATCAGTTCATATTTATTGTTCAGTAATTATGATCATAAGTTCTTCACTGTTTAATAATTTAATGACTCAGATAATTTTTTTTAAATTCAAATTGATCCTCTGTAGTAGAGCCTTGTCTAACACCTCTCTACATATGCTCTATATGTTGTAGGTTTTATCTGAAGACACATTAGATACTGTTGAACTGTTAGAAGAACATGGACCGACAATTATCCGTTCAGCAATCTGCATCCTCCAAACCGAAACAAATCCTCTGGATCCTAATATCAGATCTTCCCGATAACATTGAGAGCTTAACCATCATCCAAGGGTATGAATCTGGCAACAAAACCATCAAAATGAGTTTTATGAAGAAGTTTACACAGCTGATGACCCTAGAACTGGTAGGACCTAACCTACAAAATCGCCCTCTTAATAGTTATTTAATTTGTGAAATAGACGCTGCTATTGACAATTTGAAGTACTTAAATTTAGAGAGAGTTTTGATAAGAAATTCTAAAGAGCAAATAATGAAATTTTTTTAAAACAGGTAAATGAGGAGAATATTACGTTTGAATATCCTCAAAAGTTTGAAACTAAATAATCATGTTATTACCTTAGTTAAAAGACCACAAATGATGAAATAGTTCCTTACGATGTTTTTATAAAAGAGAGGGAAGCTACGGGGGAAACCCCCATATTTATGGGCTTTAAAAAATTATTGTTATTAAGAATTAATAACTGTGATCTAAATCATATCAATTGGGAAATGTTTGACGGCCTTCATGACTTACAATACCTTTTATTAGAAAAAAATAACTTAAAAGTAATTCCTCCTTTTGCATTCCATGGAACTCCTAATTTAAAAACATTATCACTAGCTCATAATAATCTTTTAGATATACAGATCACAGATTTAGCCGGCCTTTTACAATTAGAGTATATAGATCTCAGCTACAACAACTTTACCCAACTTTCTGAGCTATCTTTTCCTCCTTTTCCCAATTTAAAACTCGCCAATTTTGCTAACAATCCATAAATACCATTTTCTCGAACACATTCGAAGTTATGAACACCACAAACTCGTTAATCATAGGTAGTGAATTAATAGCGCTTACTTTGGTGACGAATTCTCTATTAGGTTTAGAGGAGTTGCAAAAGCTTACTTTAAATAACTTACAACTTTCTGTGTTAAAAAGAGACCTCTTCAGTGGAATGCCAAAGCTAAACGAACTTATATTAACTGGGAATATAACAAGAATTGAGTACGATGCATTTTTAGAGATAAAACAAATTAAAACACTGGTGTTAAGTAATTGTCAAATAGTTAATATATCTATGGATGGTTTCATGGGTCTGAGTGCTTTACAATACTTAGATTTGTCACAAAATTTATTGGAAATGGTTCCTCCTGGAACTTTCGATCACTTACTAAATATAAAAGAGTTGTATTTAAATGGAAATCGATTCAAACAACTACCTAGAGACATTTTTTCAAGAATACATCCAAAACTGTTGAGGCTGAACGAAAATCCTTGGCACTGCTCTTGCGATATGAGTGAATGGAAGCCTATGATAGTAAACAAAGTAAAGCAAGGAATTTTAAAACCATGTGAGTACACCAACGATAAAGGAATATCGTGTACTAAAGACAATATGTTCACTTATAAATATATTTACGAAAATAAAATAGCTCCTAAATGCTCACAGCCTGAACAGTTTCTAAATTGGAATGTTTTTCACGCAATGAGACGCATTTTGAAGTGCACAGATTACCGGCCTAAACTAAGAAAACGGTTTAGAAATTCCACAGTCGCATCTCAAAACTTTACCGATATGATCACCGCTACCCCCACTCCCTTTGTCAATTTAACTAAACTTGAAAAACTTAGATACAAACTCAAAAAACATAACATTCTTAAGAATAAAAGTCCATTGCATATTTCTCAAAAATCTATTGAAATTAATGAAAGTAACGATAGCCTCGGAAATGACAACAGCAATTATGAAAGCAATAATGAAATTACCAACTCAATTGAGTCAATTGAAATACACAGAAAACCATTAAGAAGAAGAAAAATGAAAAAGCGATTCAGAAAACTCAGACAAAAACATAATGATATTAGTAATGATATTTAATGTTTTATTATTTTAATATATACATTTATTTATCTGATCCTATTTTCTATCATAGTTTATTGTGAGTCCTGTATACAGTGATGAGTGCCTTACCATCCGGCTTTTTAACGTAAGAGATAGAAAACACAGTTACCTTGTGAAATAAAGAGAGAATGAAACTCGTAGAGGTGGGAAATAATCGATAGAAACCTATAATTTACATTACATTTACCACTATCGATTGTCTCACAACCTTTAGACGTTGACGTAGTTATTTGACTTCAGTTATAATTATACGGATAACCTCGAAAATATTTTTATTTTAATAATTTTGATGTTAGAATAAATAATTGAAATAAATTAATATATAGTAAAAAACATTAATAGTAGCGATTTTAAATTATAAATCTTTAAGTTTAATTTAATAATAAAAATAAACTCCACTGAAAATATTTTGACTAAAATAAAGGTAGGATATATTTATCCGAAAACAATTAATGTAAGTGGAATTGGTTGTAATAGGTAGAGACGTAGTCATATTGACAAAAAGATTGGGTTCAATTTTGAAGAATTTTTACTTTATTTTCGAACGTACGACGAAACTTTTTCAATAAGATATTTATGTTGAACTTTAAACACATTTAATAATAGTAATGACTGACTAAATGTTCAAAATCAAGATGATCTCTGCATAATTTCAAATTATTAAAAAAAAAGAAAACACATGTGGGTTTTGAACTCTAATCGTCTGCATAGCAGTGTCGAATTCTTACCACTAATCACGAAGCAGGTTGATTAGATCGAAGCTAACGTCTAAAGGTGTGAGACTATCGATAGTGGTAATGTCATGTAATTATAGGTTTCTATCGATTATTTCCAACCTCTACGAGTTTCATCTCTTTTATTTCACAAGGTAACTGTGTTTTTTATCTCTTACGTTTAAAAAGCCGGGTGGTAAGGCACTCATCACTGTATATTAATATATATAGATATATATTATATATATATATATATATATATATATATCCTTTTGGATAGAATTACTTACACTTGGAACAAGCTACTGTAGCATTTTTGTAACTACTAGCTGATTCCTCAATCCTACAGGTTTACAATTTAAGTGAAATACACTTCAAGAAACTTAAAGAACAAAAAAGTGACCAAAGCGGAAGCTCTTGTCTCATTTGAATGATTTTTTAAATTTAAAGAAGTGGCGTATTTCTAGGAAGTTGTGCATTTTTCCTTTATTTTTATTATTATTGGCACAGAAAATCGGTATTTATAAATTTAGAATGTACACTTTTATAACCAGTGGTATGTAATAATACTTTGTTTTCCGGTCTTATAAGCTATGGTGTCTATGGTTTCTGCCTTACGTTTCTTCTGTGACTGCAGTAAAATTTATCAAAGGTGATATGATAATGATCGGAGCTGTCTTCCACAAATTGGAGGAAATAATTCCAGGCCAGTGTCTATAGACCCGGAAAACAATATATTACATACTTTAAACTATTTGGTGGGGCCCTAATGTACTTATACATATATATACTATTTATATATTATATATATATATATATATATATATAGTATATTATTATATATTATATATATATATAATATATATATATATATTAAGTAAAACCTAATAATATGAAACAACAATAGATTAGATATACTTACTAGAGTGCACACTACAGACTAAAATGAAACATTTTATCTGTTTTTAAAAATCCTACACAATTTTTTATACATAGATTCTTATTATTGTCGATTTTGATATTTTTATGTTAGCAGCATGGAATACTGATACTTTATAATTAGTTTAACATAATTAAGAATGTGTTGTTGGAAGATATAAATTAATTAAACAGCACAAGAATGGGCTCCAAATCTACCAATATCTATGTACATCATCTATAAAAAAATATATGTAACTTCCACTCTACAAAATGTATGTTATATATCACCTTGCAATAGTAAATTTTAAGCCTATTCTCTTACTGTTAATTTGGTAATGTAAACAACTGTTTTCTTCTCGATGTTTCATGATATAATTAAATTAAATCTAGTTTGTAACATTATTTTTATAATAAAAATACTGTAGTAGATACATATGTTTTATTTAAACCAGTTCTTTTATGTTCAATATATTATAATTAAATTATATAAATATACAACAGACTTACCTCTTAGCAGTGTTGCTCCTGCTCCTCTGTAGATACTGGATATCCCTCCTTGCTTGTAAAGTTTCTTAACTACATCAACAGGCCCATTATAAACCTTTGGTGCATTTGCCCCTGTTGAATTTGCAGCAAACACTTTATTCTCTCCCCTGGAGCCATAATTAAAGTAGTGAAAATACCAGAAAAGGCTCCAGCAAGTCCCATTTCTGTGTATGTAAGGCGACCCCCATCTGATGGTCCAAAAACCTTCTTTCCTACACCATAACCCATAAACGAAATGGCAAAGATAGGAGCTACACCGACCAAGGGAGCACCCATTCCCTTGTATAACCCTCTAACACCTTCATGTCGTACAGTTTTTTGGAGGCAGTCCCATGTTCCTGAGTATAAGGGTGATTGTCCAGCTTGTGGTATTGGCATAGTCTGTAACCTCACCTGTAAAAAGAAGGTAAATGTATCAATAATACTAAATTGGTTTCTCAGATACAACCATACTACTAGCAATTATATTTTTTTGTTTCCGAGTAATAAATTAGCAAAAAATTATAGTGTTATTCTGAATTTGACAATATAAAATGGATATGCTATCTTTATGGACATGGCATATTATGTGTAATATACAGAATATTGAATATAAATGGCAATATAAGTGGAAGTTTCAGTTACTGATATAAACAAGGGTAGCAAAAATCTTATAAACAAGAAATAAACAATTGAGAAAATGCAATGAGGGAGTAAAAACCCACAATTGATAGTTTTAGCTGTCTGCTTTGTCTACCTTCATAAATTATCTTTTGGAGCAGTTGTCAACAAAAAGTCAGTGGCAAATCTAATATGTTCTTTATTAGCTTCAAGAATGCTTGAATCCTTCACACTTTAATCTTGCTATTACTTACTTCTGTTTTGATCTCTAAACAACTAAAATCAAATTAACTATTCTCCTAGAAACATAGAAAATTTTACCCATATCAGGAGCACTCCATTGTCTCTATAGTTATTTAAGAGATTTTTAAGTTCTAAATAACTCTTAGAAAGACTAATTGTGTGCGGAAACGTAGAAGGACGTAGAGGCCGAGGACGCTCACCTATCCGATGGTCAGATCAAGTACAGAAAGCCACTGGAGAGACGTTTTCTGAGTCCATGAGAGCAGCCCAAAATCGCAAGAGATGGAGAGAATTGACAGCCCGCATTGTAGGGAATCACGATCCTCAGCAATGAGGAAACGACAAGAGAGAAATAACTCTTGACTCACCTGTCAATAACTTAAGGTTTTCATAATGACCTGGTTATTCGATATTTAGTCTAATTTAATTTACTGACATATGGTGCCTATAAACTTGGTACCAAAGTTTTGTCACATAGACAAATAAAAATATCAATATTGGAAATATTAAGTCCAACCTCCATCTAATAGATATTTTATTATAATATAATAGTGCAGAGAAAGAAGACTCAGTACAGCCTTTACTGCAGCTTAGGTATATGTTTAGTTTGCAGTTGTAACCATCAGAATATTTATTCAACTTTGTGCCTTAATTTGTTGCTTGATCAACAATTTGAAGGAATTTTACAGAAGCATGGATGATAATAGGCTTGAAAATCATTTGGCATGGACAATATGTCCAAGGTATGATCATGAAATATATCCCTTATAGATAAAATCTTATCCAGAGAAGTAATAATTAATTTGGACTTTGGACTTTAAAAGGGCATATTGACCAAATGGAAATATTTAAATCTTTAATGTTATTGGTTTCCTTAGGTTGCAGTTATTAAGGTGAACAACTCCGCACCTATAAACTTTAGAAATGAAAGTAAATAGAGTTAAAAAAAATGGAATTCCAGTTTACACTTACTTTTATAGTATCTAAGGGATGGCCTACTACAACAGTACATATTCCACCAAAACCCCCACAAATAAAGTACTCTCCAGGTCCCATATCTCCCATTTTTGATAAATGTTTAATAAAATAATTTTAAAAGAAGTAAATATGTACAATTTAAAAACTATAAACTGTCAGCTCCACGGCACCCACAGCACAGACAGCAATTAATGAAGTAACATAGCAAGTACACATACTACATGTCTAAAGCGGTTAATTTTAATTTACGAAGTATAATTTGAAACAATCTTAATTTCATATTTGAAATAATATTAATTAATCTTAATTTTTTTTCGGTTATATTATCCAAATATATGTAAATCCTTTAAGCGAGCTTAATACCCTATTTGATACATGGCTGACAGTTGACAGAATTTGAACTGATTTGATCCATAGTTGCCACATTTATTTATTTACACAAATTTTAAGTTTTGTAAATTATGATATCTGCTTATATTTATTCGTTTTTTCAATTGAAATAATGAACATATTAAGCTTAATTTTAATAATAATTGCCATTTTTCTTCTTTTGGATCTCCTTAGAAGCGTCAGGTATACTATGATCCCTATGGTGCATGATTGTTATCGTACATTGATCCCTAAAAGAACAGTTACCAGAGAACTACGAACGCAGTAGTTCGTAGTTCTTTGCAGTTACTGAAAAGACAGTTATTTAACTTTCATATGGACCACCCAACCATGGACGTGCTGTAAAGTATCAAATTTTATTTTAATTTAGTTACAATAAGAAAGGAGTTTCGTTTTAAAAAAATAACGTAGATTAACTTCCACAAGGAATCTACGTTCCTGTAGCTGGCTGTATACCATATATTAAAAATCCTTTATAAACGGTAGATGAACTAATTACCGACATATCACTTCGGTAAAAAGCATGTGTATTACTGGTTCTATAATATGTAGGACTCTTCAATGTCATAAAAATATTTTAACAACCAAACTCATTAGAATTTATTATTCAAGCGAATGTAAAAATCAAACAATATTTATTTTAAAGCAATTTAATAACCAAATCAAAAACTTGAAAGAAAATAAATTTTTGAAATAACAAATTGAAACTATTTTTGGATTTAAAGGGTCAGTAAATAAACGTGAAATATGGCGATGCCGTGTGACCTCCAAATTGCACGAAAGTTTGGATTTCACTTGCAGTTCACTTTTGTATTTGTTGATTGAACAATTGATTCATTCATCTTTTAATGAAGTGCATGAATGTCAACATTAAACAACATAATTTCAGGTATTATCACAGTTTAACCCGTAAATCTTACCTCGAGAATAGTTACAATTAAAACAATGTCATTGAATACCTTGTCTGCACTGATTGTCTTATGTTTGTTATTATGAAAAGTTAAATTATAGTTCATTCATCCTAATAGATGACGAAGACGTGAGAATCATGGCCAATCTATACCGATATCAGAAAGCCATAATACCAAATAGACCAAAAAAAAAAAAAAAATTGGAAACATTAGTAAACTAATTTATAGTTAAAAAAAGTATACTTACTGTGTCTTATTCCATGACAGCCTAACTTTTAATCTACTAATATCTTCAGAACTGTTATTTTTCGCATACTCACTCCAATATCTTGCAAAAGCTTAACTAATACAACTTGTATTTTCATAACCAAAGTAATCACTCATTATGTTGATATTCCACTGTCTTTGCAGTCATTTTTATATAATGACGGAAGTCTCTTCTTCATTCGTATTGCAAGTTTTTGGGACAAAAGTAAATATGAGTGTCCAAAAAGTAAACTTTACAAGATTTTTCATATCATTATTCATCTTAGTTATGACTAACCCGCCTGGCAAGCGTGATGTTTTAACTGCCATAACCCCCCCTGCTTTTATCACGGCGAATAATAAACAGAAAGGAAATGGTTCCGAGGTGGGTAAGAAAAATTTCTGAATCCCACACCTCAAAGGTCTGCCTCACGGTATCTGGGGGAGGCAATAATTCGCTTTTGATTGATAAAAACAAAAACCCACTAGGACGAGCACAACAAATCAAAAAAATCCGTCAACCTGTCAATAGAGACATACAATATTAGATCAATGTCCACGAATGATAAAGTTCATGGATTGGAAGAAGAATTAACAAACATAAAATGGGATATCATAGGCCTATCAGAAACTCGACGAAAAGAAGAAAACCGAATACAGCTAAAATCCGGTAATCTACTGTATTATAAAGGAAATAAAAAGAATAGTAAATTTTGAGTAGGATTTATAATAAAGCTATAAGTAAGCATGTCCAAATTATCAAAGGTATATCAGATCATGTCGCCTATGTCATATTTAAAATAAGGAGAACATCAATTAAAATTATCCAGGTATATGCCCCCACGACAGATGGAACAAAATTCTTATAAGTTGGAGGTCGTGGAAATATAAACGAAGCAGAGGAAGGCCCAAATGATATGGGCAGATGATATCAAGAAGCATGTGGGCTAGGTGGATGACTGTAGCGACAGACAGAGAAGAATGGAAAAGGATTGGGGAGGCCTATGTCCAAAGATGGACCGAAGAAAGCTAATTAGATTAGAGATAGTTATGATAAGCTCATGCTGTAATAAACGCTAAGCCTACTGTTATGTTCTAAATCTATGAAAATTTCCAAATTTTTTGTATATGATAAAATTCTCCATTGAAATAATAATATATTATCAGTACATAAAATCTCCTTGGTGCTTGAAAAAATGCATCTGCCTGTGGAATACGGTTTACAAATATAACAAATAAAAATGCAAAATATTCAAGATAATTTTGTTTTGTATCCAATCCTTTCTCACAAAATACATGTTTTATGGAATACTGTTATATTCAATAAATTTTTAACATTTGTGTTAAAAAAACATTTATTGTGTAATAGAAGTATATAGAAATACATAACCAAAGTGTTCATGTACGTGTTAAGGTTCTGACATCAAAAAAAAAATTAGTCCATAGGTCACAGATATACAATACGAGATTTCCCGTTTATTTAAAAAAAATATCGTTGAATATGCGGTTGTACATTATCACTAGATGCTATTTGGTTGTGAAAGTAAAAACAAAACACATTAGGATTATTTTTATGGGAAAAGTCTTAAAATTTTATATATATATATATATATATATATATATATATATATATATATATATATATATATATATATGTATGTATAGAGGGTGAGTCGTAAATAATGTGACAAATTATAAACTCAGAATAAAAAATAATACTTCATTTATTGTTAATGATGAATTCCTTTTATTTATTAGTAAAAATAGCCGAATTATTGTTTTCGTTTTTCTGTATAATGCGGAATCTAGAAGATATCATGATTTATGCCTAATCAGTAAGATATTTCAAAGTATTTATAACCTATTGTAACCTATTGATGCAAGGATATTAATTTTGCTAGTAATATTTAAAATAAAGTAGAGAGTCTACTTTAATTAATAATTAAAAATAATAAAATAAAACAGAATTGATAAAACTTCTTAAAATAAATGTAAGTTATGGAAAAATGTATTTCATTATGTATGACACACCCTATTTATACGTTTTATATAAAAAAATTAAATTATTTTGTGCATGAAACGAACGCATACAATGACAATACATTAGTATTATTTTGTACATTGGGTTTCACATATCCTTAAGTTTATTTAGAATATAATAACAAATAGTAAGAAGAAACATTTATGTCATCTTTACCTCAATATACTCCATTGTTACTTTAATTGGTTGAATAAAAATTAGCAGTCTTACTGAGATTTACTAGAGATTATCAAGAAATGGTTTCTTTTTATGAAAAAATAATAAAATAATTAAAATAGTATATAATTAATCCCGTTGTACTCCCTATTTCAACACCGGTTACCATCAATTAAAAGGTCAAAAATATTTTTCACACATTTCCCTCAAATTATACCAATGTTTTTAAGCCCTTTTGTGCTATTATGATAATTTTTTGTTTACATAATTTCATCATTTAGTACTGTTTTAATGTTATTGTGGCAATAGGTTAATTTAATGTAAATGAACTATTCCAACCCAGTTTATAAGTACATGCCATCAGGCATTAAATATTTCACATTCCTATTAATAAAAACATCATAGATTGGTATGGGTTTTTACCTATTTTCCACACTTTATTGTCACAAACAATTTTTGAATATGAAAAACAATTTATTCTAATATATACAAGTTTTCTCATAAAAAGATTAATTTAATTTTAAAATAAATAAATATATTGTTAAATGAAATGGAGACTGCTTAAATACTATAAATAAATTTAGATCTAACACTGAGTTTGATAGTGATTGATAATATACAGGGCGTGCAATGATAGTTAAGTAAAGGAACATAAACGGAGTGTGAAATAATCTATAATTATTGGGTCAATGGTGCTTTATACCCAAGGTTAATTTTATTAAATTCTTTACAACTTACAAACCACACTGTATATGTAATGATAGGGGAGAGGCTGGAACAGTGACCAATCAGGTACAGTGGCAACTTTTAAATATTTTGGTGTTTGGTTGTTTGATAGATACAGACGCGCCATCTAGTACAAACGCTAACAATTTTAGTCACAGTAGTCGCTTACTACGCTTGACCTCTGCACCATCGTTTCCAGAACCATTTTGTATAAAGAGCATACCAGAGGTACTTTTCAGTGCGTCACAGTTTTTCGATTTCATTCTAATGCATTAAGGAAAAAGCGGTGGTTCCGTGATTAAACAGAACTATCATGCAGCGTTAGAATAAGCTTACATACATAGGCGATTCTTTCCTAACCTAAATTTGATTCGTTGATATTTAGATGCGCGGTTTCTCTAGTCAATCAAATACGCCTTTTACTGACAGTTGACGTAAAACTTCGTCCATGCTGGCCATTCTTTCGAAGTGTTGAACAGCAAGTGACGGCTGTCGTTCAGGTCAGTATTTGTACATAGTATTGTGATTGTGGTTTTATTTGTATTTGTGTAGGGCCAAGATGACAAGATATACGGAAAAAGAACAAGTACTAATATTAAAATTGCTTAGATATTTTCAATTGGAAAAGGAAGCTGGACAAATATTATAACCAATTTTTGCTGTTCGTGAAGTAAGTTGAAAATTACCCTGAAAATAAAATTGTTTTATTTACTGTTTATTTCAGCGTGTTGCTGAGACCATAATCATATCCAGTGGAACCAGTTATCATCCAATACTTATATCCAAA